AGACAAAGTAGAATCTGAAATGGAATATTTCATCGCAACTTCAACAATTCCGCCTCGCAATCAAAGAAGGTGCTGGTTTGAGGCACACCAGCGTCCGTGATCATTACTTGAGAGTTTTATCGAATATTTCAGAAAAACAGACATTTTCCGTGAAACTACCGTTCTCAAAACTACTTGTAGAACTCCCGTTTTTTTTTTAAAAAAAAACTCAATATAATCTTCAAACCTATGAATGTTTTTACTTTTCAAATAAAAAGTAAGCAGTTATTTAAATCAGTTTTTCACACAATCTTTTCGATAGTTTCGAGTTAGTGTTGACAAACAAATTGTTTTGAGTCAAGGAAAAGTTCAGGAAATGAAGATTTCTAAAAAAAACTACAGATCATCATGCTTTTTTTGGAACTTTTAAGTTATTGTTTTTGTCGTCGATAACTAAGCTTAAATCAATTACTCTTTAATTCTTGTTGCATCCCTATAACAAGTCCCAGATCGGTTTAAATAAAATGATAAAGATTCAAATTAATTTTTTTTTGAAATCGCTATCCTATAATATTAGTTTGCTTCATTTTTTGGTATTTTGTTTAGATTATGCAGCTCATGCCTGTTTATCATTATACTGTAAGTTTATCATTATAAGTTTATCATTATAAGTTTATCATTATACTGTAATCAGTTGAAAACAAGTTTTTGTTTTATCCTATTATATTCTTGACAAGCTATCTTTGTAAAATACTGAGAACTAACCAATCATGATCAATTCATAACTTTAACAATAAATTGTAAGGCTGAAACTATTTATTGTTTCAGCCAGAACAAAACAAATTTAATTTAGCAAATAGTTGTTCTTCCTCAGAACAATTTTTGATATCTAGCTTCGTAAACACCAGTGCACACTAGATCTTTTGATACTTTGAGATATAAGAGTAAGCTTAAAATTGGTATTAGAATAAGAAGTCGCACGAACCTATCCGACCGAAAATAAAATGGCGTGACGAGCAGACGGTGTACCTTATCCGAAATTACTCTATGAGTGAGCCACCCTGGACATAAACTCATCTGGTGCGACCAAAAGTCTCGAACAGACCTCTGGATGTTTAGATTTAGCAAACACAAAATCGAAATAAGGTCCAAAAACAAACCGCAAAATATTGAGAAGTATTAAAAAATTACCTCCACGTCTCATTTAGTCAAATCAATACTGCCGAATATTCAAGCTTACACCAGGTCAAAACCCGAACAATTTTTACGTCGTGAAACTAAAAAGCAGACTGCAACGATTATTTCTCTACAAAATTATCAATGCAGTACATTTTCATTCACTATTATGAAATAAAACATTTGGAGTAGTAAGATTCATTTCCAAGATATATACCTCTAAATGTTGTGTAACTAGGAGTTGTATATTACCAAGCCGATTTAGATAAGTCTTTTAGTCTAAGAAATCTGCATTAACCTAAAAATCATTGTAATATTGAAACTAACTAAATAAAAAAGTTATTACCTTAATTTAAATTAGTTTTATCAAAAATATAAAAAATTCCTTGCTTATTAAGGACTTCTGTCATCTTTAATTTTGCTTCTTTGTTTCTTCAACTAAAACGTAGCATATATTCACTCAAAACGAGTATAATCCAAACTTTACAATCTAATCTTTCCTAAAGTCTTTAATTTTCAATTTAAATCTTGTCAAAGCCTATCCTTGTTTTAAATCAACCAAAAAAAATCTTTAAGCCAGATCATCAAGGATATCCTTGGATCTTTTAAACTTTGTTTTAACTTTAAATTTGAATCAAACTAAATCAAACTCTTGATCATCAAGGCTTTCCTCGGATCAATTAGAACAATTTTGTTCCTGACTTTTTTACAAACGTACCAGAACTCTACAACCTTTACAAACGTACCAGAACTATAAGATAAATTTCAAATAACTAACCATTTCAATTAAGACAAACAGAGAAGAACTTCGGTTACTCATCCTTCACTTGAGCCCCTCCTCTTAATAGACCTAGGCCAAAACATATCCGAAAACTTGTCAGCCTTAAAATAAAATCCAACAATCTACTTCAGTTCTAATCATACTGAATTTTTGTGGGTTGATTTACTATCCCACAACTTTTGATCAGAAATTGAAAACCTAAGTAAAAATAAGTTTTCTCATAAAACTTAACCATTCGAGAAAGTATGAAATCATTCTAACGAGTCAATATACTCCCTCTCCAACCCGTCTATACGCGACAATCTAGCCCCACGTTTAAAATAACCCCACAAAAAATGTAAAAAATCTACAAATAAGGAAAAAGAAAACCTAACCTTTCAATTTTGCAACCATCACTACAACACAATGTCAAAAGATAATTTTCGTCAAAAGATAAGTTAGGAAACAAACAAAGAATTAAACTCCACAAGTGTTGAATTAAAGGAGAAAGATACGATCTGATAATTACACCGCATAATTAAAAATAGGATACATCAGATCAAAAAAAAGGAGACGTTAATCCCAAAACAGAAACAAATAATTAAGTCAACATTTTCCAGAACAGGAAACGCAGTTTCAGAATCTGACTCAACAACAAAACAAGATTTTCAAAATTTTCTAGATTTAACCCACGACAAAAATGATTCAGTAGACAATGAAAGATATTTTTCAGAATGAGACTACACAACAGCATCATCTAAAAAGGTAAACGCTGATAAAAAGTCAATGTTCGCAAACCAGTATACAACCAGATTTCAGCTTCCTTTTTTGGAAACTTTGTTTGAAAAAGTCGTGTCCATTTTAGGAACGTGTTGCACCAAAAAACGTTCATTAATGTTATGGTGCTGTATCCAAAAAGAGAACTCTTTTAAGGACTTAAACCTTCCAAATAAGTAAAAGTATACACAAAAAGAATCGCACAAATAAATGACCATGAGTTGTTTGCTGTAAAAGTAAGAAATATTGCTGATATCTTTGGAAGTCTGATTTCAAACCTGATCATGCAAGATTTTGAATTTTGAAAATCTTTAAGGAAATGAAGGAAAATAAAACTTTGCAGGGGACTTTCTTAAAAATTTGGGCATCGAGTAGGGGATGATAAGAGTCTTTGACATGTTAATGTACGAGTTTTTGATTAATTTCAAATTTACTAAAATAAATTTAAAAAATTTCTTGTCATATGTAGATCAGCCGTAAGTTTGAAGCTTTGATACGCATTTTGTGGATCAAAACTAAACTCTTTGATTGAGTAAGTTGCATTACCTTTACTTAGTCAGAAAACTCTATTTTGGACAACAAAAACGTCCGAAAAATTGTGAAAAAGGTAAGATACAACGCCTATTTCATCAATTAAAAAATCAAGTGGAATTTTTTTGTTTTTCTTGCAGAGTATTTCGAGGAATATGTTTTCTATGTGACATTTTTCAAATAATGAAAGAAACCAATTATTCAATCAGTTTTAATTATGGTCAATTTTGACTGGTAGAAAACGTTCTTTTTTGCTTATTTTTCTCTAGGCGACAGCAAATGGATTAATTTCATTCTATTTTTTTAAAGCTGAAAACAATTGTTCTAAGTATTGTTTAAGTATTTGAAAAGTAAACAAGTATTTCCCGAAAAGTTCAAAGTAAGTGAAAGTCACTGAATAAAGTTTTGGGACATTTCAAATTTCCTTTTTTGTTATGTACCAAGTATTTATTTTGATGTTAGTACTATCTAAATTGCCCAATTTTGTTAGATGCCGTCCCTGAATAGAAACGAGAAAGTGAAATGTGGAGACTGTGGAAACATGTATGTTGTAGAGCATGCAGCTCGGCATCAAAAATGATGTACTAAAGGAGCTATTTATTGCCCTAAGTGTAGGTATTTCATTTACAGTCAGCATGAAACGAACTATCACGTGGCGTGGTCATGAAGCATGCTCCATCAACTTCCAAGCGAGCAACGGTTTGCTCGACTTGTGAAAAAAATTTCCGAGTTACTACTCTCTCCACCAACATCGCAGAAAAAAACATGGAGCGATACAACGGAAGCCCAGCAATACTGTAGCGGACTTGAACAAGACTGTGGAGGAGGAAGGGGAAGATGGAGAAAAACTCAAGGACTTGAGTGCTTGCCAACATTTTCTGGTGGATACGGAGATGGAAATCGGGAGACATACGTTATCTAACTTCCAAATGTCAAATTTAGATACTAAAGTAATCAACAAGAAGCTGGATTAGGTATTTAATAAGGTGGATTCCGCTGCAATAATCAATATTGCTCTTAGATTTGTTCTTCTTAATGTCGAAACGGGAGAAAATTGGTATGTACGAAAGCCGATTTGATTACAATCCAGGGAAAAGTCGAAATTTTATATTTTGGAGCAATGCACACATAAACGCCAGAACACAAAGTGGAATTTCAAGTTGATCACAATTGTCACTTTTTTGCTGCACTACCAAAAATATTTCAATGGGATGTCCAAAATCTATTTTACCCGAGCCTTTACTACTAAATAAGCAAGTAAACTGTCTTTTATCGGACAAAGATAATCAACCATACAAAGATCATTTTTGCCTTTTCCTTGCGTTAGCAGGGTAATTGCATGGCTATAGTAACCTCGTGTCTCATACATCTCAGCTGTTTACAGAGTTTGTATCAAAATCTGGATACGACCCGAAGAACATTCCTGGAGTCTCAAATGATGATATAATTCTCGTAGAGGGAATAATTGAAAGCAGAATATTCATTTACGTTTATGACTTTCAGGAAGGAGAAAATGTTTGAGAATTAGCCAGAAAAAGCAATGGTTCGCAGTCGTACACAATCCGTAGTTCGATAAAACCGTGAATTTAATAAAATTCAAACACAAAATATTATTCACACAATTTATTTTGATCTTTTTCAAAGTGTTTTCGAAGCCAGAGCTGTGAATGTTTCTTTAAAAGACTATTTCCGTTCAACAACCATATCATTCACACAATTGATATTGATTCTTTTTTATAGTTTTTCCGATGCCCCAGCTGTGACTGTTTCTTTGAAAGATCAGACGTTTTTTACAAACTTCTAATCAGATGTACATATCGAGTTCGACATATTTATCCCAAAAACTCACACACGTTACGGGAAACAGTATTCCAGAAACTGGACGGATTCAACATTCCCTACACTGAAGATCCAAATTTATTTGGTAATGTAGCAGTTTTTGTAGCAAGAATTGAAAGCAACCGTAACCACTGTTTGGATTGGAAAAGATATCCCTATTTTGGTCTCAATATCTTCAAATCTGCAAGGTGATCCAATTTTCCTGTGTAAAAATGATTCAGAACTCCTAGTAATTGGAACTTCTGGCTGAAAAGGGCAAAGTAGAGATGAGAATAAAATTTCAAGAAACCGAAAATTTTGTCAAAAATCGAGCCGAAAAGATCATTCACAAACTCAATGCTAGAATTTCAACAAAAACACTACAAGTCTTCGGGTATGAAGATGAATTGTGCAATGAGTTGAGGATGGCAAGGAAGATGATATGTCTCCACAATTCTTGAGAATTCAAAAAAAAATCAGCTGAATAGCTTAAAACTGCATTTAGAATGCTATGTTGTACTGTGCCCTTTCGGATTCAGCAACGGGAGATTGAATCTGAACCTTGAGAATTTTTATTTGATCCCGTACCTTATATGTGACAGAGAAAATGAACCAACAAAATTTGAACAGGTAAAGGATTTCATATTCCTCAAATTTGGAGATGTACAGTTTCGCGATTTAAAGAAGTTTATGGGAGAAGCAACAACATTGAATTTGTTTCGGAAAGCCTCTAAAGCAAGTGAAACCAAAAGTTTTTTCCGAAGAAAGGTTTGACTGTCTAGACAAGCTCGACTGTACGGAATAGCCTTCATATGAAGCCTTTTTCACTGAGCTGAGAAACAACAATCCCTAGAAAAAGATTTCAATTATTACCTAAAACTGGTAAATGATTGTCATGGTCAAAAACGTAGATTGAAAAAGCTACAACTTCAATCAATTCTACCAACAATTTTCGAAAGTTACTCTTATTTTAAAAGCATCTGGGAACAACACAACTTGTAGGTTTTCACAGACTTCTTAAGATTGTATATTAAAAGAGATGTTGTTCTTATTCATGAAAAATTTCAAAAAAAAACGATAGAGTTTTACCGTGATGAGGGAATCGACATGCTGAAACTGGGATGCACGCTTCCAAATCATGAAAATATCTGCTTACACCATATGACAAATCACAAATTCTACCCAATATTTGAAAGGGTGACAAATTGTTATGTGAGAAAACAAAGAAGAGACTGTTGGTGATCCATCAATAGTTCTTACTGTTTCCGAAAAGTTGTTGTCGATCCAATTTATATTCGTATATTGTCGAAAAAAATTGCAAAACAATAATTGGAGTTGATGCTATTCAATTATATTCATCCTCAATGTGTCAGGAGATGCCGACCGAATTTTATGGGATTTTGCTTCTAAAACTGAACAATTCAAGACTAGAAAAAACAGAACAAGAAATTTCGAGATTATGGTTATGTCGTTCTATCGAGAATTGAGACCAGAATGTAAGCATACGAAAAGCATAAGTGCTCAACCGGAAAGCATAAGAAAATTGATTGTTTTCATGTTGATGGCTATTGCGATCATTGTAAAACAGTATTTGAAGCTATGGGCTGCTACTATCACTCCTGCTCCTGCCAAGAAAACCTTCCATCTTTGTCAGGTGAAGATATTGAAAAGGGAAATCAGAAGCAAGGAATTAATGAGTTGATACGAGAGTATATGTAAGAAAAGCTTTTCATTTTTCAAGACACGGTGGAGTGTGAGTGGTGGGAGCAATTTGAAACAAATTCTTCAGTTAAGAATTATGTCAAGATAAGCTTTATTTACAAAAGACCTCTGTCTACTGATTTTTTAATTGAACAAATACAGACGGATCTTTTTTTGGTGGTTTCCAAAATGATTCGATAATTCTCGACAAGTTTAAGTCCACACTTTCAAATTTTCCTCCAATTTTTAAAAGTTATGACATCTGCCGAAACGATATTTGAGACTACATAAAAAAATGCCGAAAAAAAGAATTTTTTAAAGCGATTGAATGTTGTGAAGTAAAACTATTGAAATCGACCAGTGAACATAGAGAACCAATAAGTGTAGGCTTTTTTTCTTCAATATGCCAAACTCAGAACGTTGGAGTTATAATACAATTTTTTCCACAAATAGAGTGATGAGATTAAATTTGAGGAACCGGAGATGGATACGGACTTTTTTTATCTAGCATTAGCCGGTGCGAGCTTGGAGGATTGTATATTACCTAAGAAAGCTCAAGGGACACAAATTCATCGAAATGACAAGGACGTCTTTATATCAGATACAAAGAAGAATTTTTTACCACGTGCAGGATGCACTGTTTCAAAAGGTTTGATAAACGAGAACCTGGATTATTGATAGGAAAAATTTGTTGTTCTTGAAGGTTGTGATTGTGCAGCAAGACGTTTTGCTGCTATGACAGTAAGAGTAATAAATTCACGTTCAGTACCATGGACTCAACAAAAGAACGCTAAAAGATACTGGGGATGGGCCAATGTCTAAAGACAGACAAATTCTTGATGAAGCTATCAGTTTGAAGTCAACAAATCGTGGATTCAGAACATCCAAACATTTAGTCGGAACATATTAACAAACTAAGAAAGGACTCAGTTACTTTTACCCGAAAAGGAAAATACTTTGTGATGGAATACATACTAAGAACCAATTCAAAACGTTGCAATGATTAAAAATGTTCAAAAGTTTTTTTCTAACTTTTCAACTGTAAATTAACAATTGATAGTAATTCATATTTTTTGGAAAACTTCATTTTTTTTTAACTTTCAGCAGGTTTCAGAATTTTTTTTTTCAATATACATTTAATTGGTTCAAAACAATAGTAAAAATCTATCTTGATACTTCGAATGTTCTTTACTATTACATAGAGATATCTATTAACTATCTTAAAGAATGGTAAGACCGGGCGCCAAAAAGTTTTGAAACCTACCATGTTACCATCTCAAACTTTTGGCAAAACCTATAACCTATCCTAATTTATGGGAGACCTATTCTCTATCTTAAAACATAGGTGGGTGAATGGATGCTCTTTTCCCTTTTTTAAAACATAAGGGTCACCAAGCACACCCCCTACATCCCCCTGATCACCACCAACATATACTACTGCCATCTGTGATAAGGCTTCGTACATCGGGTGCATTACTTGAGAAAGGGGAAAGAATAGGGTAGCATCAGTCTGCGAGACAGTGGAAAAAAAGTTTTTAACAGGAATATGGGTTGAAAAGGTGGTTAGGAAGAATTAGTGGGACTGGGTTTTGAGTCAAGGAGTTCACCGGTAGTTTCAACTTCTTAGTGAATAAAGTTCGTAATTGTATCAAAAACTGTTTGGTTTGAGTCACCCGAGTCCATGCGTGGCAATTAAGAATTAGTGGGACTGGGTTTTGAGTCAAGGAATTCACCGGTAGTTTCAACTTCTGAGTGAATAAAGTTCGTAATTGTATCAAAATTTCTTTGGTTTGAGTCAACCGAGTCCATGCGTGGCAATTAAGAAAAAAAATGGGGTAGGGGAAGAGGCGGTTAGGAAGAATTAGTGGGACTGGGTTTTTAGTCAAGGAATTCACCGGTAGTTTCAACTTCTGAGTGAATAAGGTTCGTAATTGTATCAAAAACTGTATTGGTTTGAGTCACCCGAGTCCATGCAGGGCAATTAAGAAGAAAAATTGGGTAGGGGAAGAGGTGAGGTCTGAAACTGTAAAAAGGGAGTTCTGGCGTTAGGAGGATAGGAAAAGAAATGGTTGAGGGATCCATCTTGGCGACTCAATATGGGCTACAAAGATGATTGTTTTGAAAACGAAAATTTAAGGTGTACTGTTTTTCAACAATTTGTTATTATGTATTGTCAAAAGTGAGTTGTTGGAGTGCTATATGAGATATAGGGCTACGTTGTTAGTTACTGGTAAGTATTATCAACTCGGTGGTCGAAAGCGTTTTTCTGTAAACTTGTAGAATTAGTGATATGTGTGGTGCTGTTTGTGTAGTATTTGTATTATCTTTTAGAGTATCATATAAGTTTGATTTTTGGTGAATACAAAAAAAATTGTTAGACAATTTTTTATTAAGTTCGCTAAATTGTGTCAAGAAAAATTTTGTGAATTGAAGTGGAAAATATTCCCAAAATTTCTGCGAA